AGATTAGTCTTCTAATAGCTTTTGGAATGGTGGCTGATATTTTGATTTTAACTGAAAGTGGTAGTCCATCTTTATGATCTGTGTTGTTTTCATGCATATCAAATGTTTGGTTTGTTTTGGGAACAGAACAGAATCAATCCCTTCCCAAACTTAAAAACCGAAATCTCCTCCCTGTCACATCTGTTCACCTGAAATGTGGTAGATGTGATCCATTGCTACTTATGCTGGCTAAGTACTTCTAATTCTGACATTGACTGTAATTGATTTCCAATTACAGTCAATGAGAGGCACCAAAATCTGGATTTCTGAATTGAGACAAGTGTCAATGTTAACTTGTTTGTTCTTCTGATTGGTCTGAGGCAAGTCGTAAATCTCTTGGTTATTGCTCATGACTAGCCACTGAATCAAACATTTACAGGAGGGGCTTTGATGGTTAACATGTCCAGAGATGTTTTCTTAAAAAACACTGATTTTCTGTCAGCTCTCTCTCTAATCACAATCTGAGTTGCTATATCATCACAGATATTCTAGTACACCTTGTGCATAGTGAACAATATTATTTTAGTATTGTAAAAACACTGTTATTAAGGACTCAGAACATGAGAAAAAACATGCTGGATACAATGAAAGTCTCATCTAGTTCAGCCATGCAGGAACACATAACTAAAGCACCCCAGAAAGATGTCATCCAATCTGTTTAAGGACCTCCAGAAATTAAGAGTCTGACCTCACTTTCAGGTGATCTATTTCACTGCCAAACAAATCCTACAGTAATATATTCTTTCTAATGGTTACCCGGAATCTCTTTTCTTATAATTTGAAGCCAGTGGTTTGTGTCTAAGGCTTATATGGCAGTGTGGACTCATATAATCCAGTTCAAAGCTGGATTCAGAAACTGGATTATATGGCAGTGTAGATCCAGATTTGGTCTCTGGAACATCAGAAGCTTGCCCAATCTTCAGCATAATGTCCCTTTAGATATTTAAAGCTACCTATTACATTATCTTTCAATAGATCCTTTTCATATGTACATTTTGTCTCCTCTTGCGCAGGCCCCTTCCATCTAAAGAACCCCAAACAATTTTCATCGGAGAATTGCCCAATCTCTTGACCTTTTTGGTTGCTGTCTTTCTGCACCCTTCTTGGCTATTCTTTAAGTACGGTGGGGAGCAAAAGGGACAATATTGTTAGAATGGATCAGTACATTTCGTGCTGGGAATGTATGATGTACATGTACAGATTGTAATGCATATATAGTTTACTCATTGCCAATCAGCACATGGCGCATACATTGTCCCCTGCAATGTAATGGACTGTTAAAATGTTAAGAAAACACTGGGCAGTAATGCTTCACTATGGGAGAAAGATAAATTTCTGTGAACACTGCTGAGGTTGGTGCTTTCATGTCTTTGCGCCATTTCCAAATGACAGAAAATCAATAGCTTCACCTTGAGATCAACACCGTTAAAAAGAGCTGCACTGGAAAAGGAGTCTCTGCCAAGTATTCTGATGGTGCTTGATCTTGGAGAGCACATAAAGAACCACTTTGGACGGAATTCAGATATAGCCAATGAGGTAATTGTATGTTAACAGCTGAGAATGACTACACTATATAATATGAAACTAGAGCAAGGTCTTCCTCCTCTTTATCTGCATATAATGAAGCTACTCCATTTTGCTCTACATTTCATAACATAAAAGATGATAAAGAAGAGCCATATTTTTTTTTTAGATAACAAGAGGGAAAAAGTTTCAGGGCTGGGTCACAGATAACCAGCAAAGTCTAATTTCCAGAATAGATGTGGGTGCCTACTTTAACAATCTTCTATTGACAACCCTCTGGAGTGTTGTGAATTTGCTGATGACTTCAAAAATATCAAATTAAAGGTTTGTCTCTCTTGATTCAGTAACCAATTGCTGTAGCTGGCAGTTTACTGTTACCTATAACCTCTAACCGAAACAATACCACCATTCCACATTCTCCTTCAGCAACACTCCTTTATAACTTTCAACAAGTTAAGATTTGGATGAATAAATGAACAATATGTAGCAAGGGGAAGAACGAAACAGAACAGAAACAAAACATGTTGTAGAATGGGATCCCATGCTTTTAAGTCAGTCTTTCTAAGATGACGGTTTCTTAGACATATTGAATTCCCATGATCTCCAGATAACAATATTTATGAAAGATAGCAGGTCAAAGGCCTGTCTAGCATTGCATGTGTGTACATGTGTCTTCAAGTCACCCGTTATCTTAAGGTGACAATATGACTTTCAAAGTGTTTTCTTAGATAAGGAATCCTCAGAGGCACTTTTGCAAGTTCCTTCTTCTGAAATATTACCTACAGCACCTGATATTCTGTGGTGGTTTCCCATCCAAGAATTAATCAGGGCTGACATTGCTTTGATTCAAAGATCAGATGGGATATGGTGCTTTCAAAGTATTTACACCAGTAGCATATATGACATATAAACGCACCAAATTAAAGTTCTTGGTATGCTGATGGTGGGGAAAATAGAAGGAAAGATCTGACTATTTAATTATTTGGTAGATATATTTAATTATTTGGTAGGATTACCTGGGAAGGAGTCCCACTGGAGCATTGCAGCACACCCAAATACCTGGGAGTTACCCTTGACCATGCTCTGACCTACAAAAAGCACAGCTTGAATATTAAGCAAAAAGTGGGTGCTAGAAATAATATTATACAAAAGTTGACTGGCACAACCTGGGGATCACTGTCTGGACACAGTGAAGACACCTGCCCTTGCACTTTGCTACTCTGTTGCTGAGTACGCATGCCCAGTGTGGAACACATCTCACCACGCTAAAACAGTGGATGTGGCTCTTAATGAGACATGCCGCGTTATCACTGGAAAAATTAAACTGTTTAGCTGGTATTGCACCACCTGACATCCACCAGGAAGTAGCAGCCAATAATGAAAAGACCAAGGCAGCGACATCTCTGGCCCATCCCCTGTTCAAATATCTGCCAGCACACTAATGCCTTAAATCAAGAAATAGTTTTCTAAGATCTATAGAGATACTCGCAGGAACACCTCAGCAATCAAGAGTCCAAAGCTGGCGGGCAAAAACCGGAACCTCAAGCCATAGCGGATACCAAATGCGAGACTCCCCCTTGGACATACAGAATAGGCAACTTGGAAGGCGCTGAACAGACTGCGCTCTGGCACCATGAGATGCAGAGCCAACCTTAAGAAATGGGGCCACAAAGTGGAGTCCACAACATGCAAGTATGGAGAAGAGCAAACTACAGACCACCTGCTGCAATGCAGTCTGAGCCCTGCCACACGCACAATGGAGGACCTTCTTATAGCAACACCAGAGGCACTCCAAGTAGCCAGCTTCTGATCAAAGGACATTTAGTATAATGCCAAGATATTTAAACTTTGTTTTTTAAAAATACATTACAATTGTACCCTCAGTTTGCTTTTGATATGATACATTTGGTAGAAACGAGGGAAGAATAAGGGGATGAGCAGAGTTCATGAAGAAGTGAATTGAGAGCTGGGAGGTGAAGGGTTTTAAGGAAAAACTAAATTTGAAACAATTGTTACATTGAAATGATCAGATAACCAACATACATGTTTGATGTTTTACAACACACTTGTTACTCAAGAAACCTTTTGTTTCTGTTAACGAGAAAGTAAAAATTCCTTCCTGTAGTGAAATCTTTACTAGTTCAACTAAAAAAGTATATCACGGTGGCTTTTGAGTCTTTACTGGATTCTTCATCAGGTGAAATGACAAATAGTAAAAAGTATACAAGGGAAGACTGTGACCTTGTTGTGTTCCTGGCATCTACTTACAAAGACCTGATACTAACTGCAGTCTTCTTTCTTAAGCGCTTTCTATAGCTTCATGCTGGGTAGACCCAAATGAAGTTTGGGGAAGGGCTGCTTTATACTTCAAAGGGAAAAGTCACCCCTTACTGACACCATTTTATTGCTTTTGTTCCCACCCATAAATGGTCTTTGCATCTATACACACATCATTTTTTAAAATATACATGCTATCACCAAAATGTTGCACTCTTTTTCCTGCATGCTTTTCACTATCTATCACCTGATAAAGTAGCCAGTGAAGCTTCAAAAGATTGATGTATTTTGTACCTTTGGTTGGCTCAAAATGTTCTGCTACAAGATGGATTGTGGATTTTCTTGTTTTTGGTTTTTACTCTTTACATCTCTGCTTGAGTGGCATTCAGTTGAGTTTTGAGCTGAAATCAGTCATGTATACATGAACCTGAACCCAAAATAGAACACATTCACTGGTTCAGCTTAGGTTTCCCCAAACAATGAACCCAAAATATGATTCAAAGGTTTTTGAATCATGGTGGTTGATAGGAGCATAGGGTTGATGTCCGCAGGAGCAATCTGATCAGGGCTGATCAGTCATATGCCGATTAAGGTATTTGTAGTTTATCTTAAAAAGTGAAAGATCACAGGATGAGGGATGGCAAATTCAACACAATTAAAATACACTTTCAAATAAGCAAATATCAAGGAGCCCCCAATGGCACAATAAGTTAAACCCTTGTACTGGCAGGACTGCTTACTGAAAGATCGGCAGTTCGAATCTGAAATTGCTCATAATTTAATTAGTGTAATTCACAAATTGATCTACAGCATCTTAAAAACATTTTTTTCTTGTATTGTTGAAGGCTTTCATGGCTGGAATCACTGAGTTGCTGTGAGTTTTCTGGGCTGCATGGCCATGTTCCAGAAGCAGGAGAGAATGCTTCTGGGACATGGCCATATAGCCTGGAAAACTCACAGCAACCCAAATTTTTCTTGGTGTATTTGTTGGCATCCTTGGCATCAGCTCATATCAAATGCGACAAATTAAACTGATCAGTCTTCACAATGTCACTGCAGCAGACTACCATGGCTACTTCTCTCCCAAAAATGTTTTCTTGGCAACACAGCTTCACTTTCAAGCAAACACACACATACAGGGACTGTTTGCAAAGGCTTACCTGCTGTCTCCAGCGTTTGCCACATAGAGCTTTCCGAGTAAATACACGACAACAAGAGCCGTACAACCACCAGAGATATTGTACACAGTCCTTTCTTGCTCTATCTGCAAATCCTGAAGGTGAAAAAAGGAGAAAGTGGATCAATTCCACAAGAGTTTTAAAAAATAGCTCACAATGGTTATTTCATAAGAGCAAGCAAACTTGTATTAAAAACTAGTTAACAAAGGATGTCTTCCTCCATCTGCATCAACTTGGGTTCAAAATAATCAAATCAGACAAATGTTTCCCACTTTGTAGAAGACTTTAAAGATATTGTTTATATAGGAGAGCTATTATATAAATTGATAATAACAGATATTTGATAGGGGAGAGAAGCTAGGGAGAAGCAGAAGAGCAACAAGCTGTCTCACCAAAGAGAAGAGAAATACCTGGGACCCTTTCATGTCACACAAGTATAGCACTTTGATACCACATTAACTGCCATGACAACATCTTATGGAATCCTGGGTTTAGCAGTATGGTAAAGAATTAGAGCGCCTCAATTGAAAATTCACTATAGCAGCTGTAGTAAACACATAGTCATACCATTTTAAAAACAAGATGCACTAGTTGTATTGATGACCATGCTTTAGAATAAGCCCTATAGAAATTGTCTATAAGCCCTATGTGAATATCAAGTTAAGTAGAGAAATGGGTAAATTACAAGCATTTCTATTGTGACTTAGTAGGATTTCTCATGACCTAAAGCAGAATATGGACTCTCATGCTAAACAACATTTGTCATAAAAAAATCTTGTGTGTTCAATACAAAAGGCTCAATCCCATTTGTTTTATAAATAATCAGTGGATGGTTTTGTAGAAAGCAAAGCACAAGCAATTTCTGCATTGCCCAATGTGGCCACCTTGTGGCTCATGTCTAAATTGCATTGTGAATTGATTTTGTCATGCTAAACAACATTTGCCATTAAAAAATCTTGTGCGTTCAATACAGAGGGCTCAATCCCGTCTGTTAAGATTTAAATGTCTAAGCCCTCAACTTACACATTAAGAGCTCATAATTGCAACAGTTCTCATTTTCTCCCTATTAATGATTTATTGCTCTGCAGTTTCTTTGCATCTGACAAAATATGTCTTCTTCAGGAATTTCCTAGGTCTTCTAGACAATTTTATTATATGTTTCCACCAGAAGTTACCACAGAGCAGATCTGGAAGACCTAGCAAATTCCCAGAATGGATATCCCTCAATGATAATTTTCTAGGTGGAGCCCCTGGTGGTACAATGGGTTAAACCGGGGAGCAGGGTAAGCTCCTGTCTGTCAGCTCCAGCTTTTCATGCAGGGACATGAGAGAAGCCTCCTACAGAATGGTAACACATCCGGGTGTCCCCTGGGCAACACCTTTGCAGACAGCCAATTCTCTCACACCAGAAGAGACTTGCAGTTTCTCAAGTCACTCCTGACACAGAAAAAAAAATCTTGGTTCTCCAGGATGATGGTATGATAACTTCTGGCATTTGTGTATTTTAATAGGGTTCACTATCATCTAGGTTTCCTGTTTCCAAGGTAAGTTCAGGAATGCATCCATCATGAATACATGGGTCACACTGTGCTGCTTCCAAAATTATAAACTCAGGATTCCCTAAGATGGAACCAATACAATGGAACCACCGTGAAATAAGTTTCTATTATCACGGATAGGTCAAGTGCTTCCAGCATGGAACCAAGGAAGCACAATCTGAGAGCTTCTCATCCACCTTCTTTACTGCAACCCTCTACTGTTACAGAAAGCACTTCGCAAAACATTTTCTTGGGCATTCTTGTCTGCCATTACAAAATTCAATATTACTCTAGCATATATTGTTAACTGTCAATCAATATAAATATTTTACATACATTTTAATTTCATCAGCTGAACTAATGCTTTTGAACATTAGTGTTATTTCAAGAACACGGTCTTTCTAAAGTAGTATCAAATGAAAGAAATCACAAAGTGTGTCATCTACAAAAATAATGAACCTTTTCCTTCTAAATTAATTTGATGACCAGAATACTGATAACCATTTCAAAACTGACAGACAGACATCACAAAGAAGGAAAATTCCTTCTACATTTACATGGATTTTGTTTTGTTATTACGATAACATATATAACAAAGGTCAATGTATCAATTATAAACAAACTTCTAGTACATATGGTACCAAAAAAGGCTGCAGAATATCAGGGGACTGCTGGTATGCATATACAAAAATCGGTACATGTTCAAGATCAGGAGAAAAATGTATAAAATGTTCTTAAGGTGGAGAGCTTTATATGAAAATCAGCTGCCATTTTTCCACTGGAAAAAATATCTACTTTACCACAGCAGCTGGACTTCTCAAAGCAACCCACGGAACACAATACTTCCACTGAAGGGCATAATGTCACACAGATTTCAAAAGTTGCAGATATACCATGCTGGCAGGGAGATTCTGGGAGTCATAGTACAAAAACTATTTCAATCCTTGGATTTAGCCTCCTCCCAAATGCATTGCTGAGGATGGAGAAAATAGCCATTTTTCTTTCATGTCAACAATGTATCATGAACTATCAATGTGCCATCAAAGTTGGCATTAAGGTGAAAAGTTACTGCTGGTGTAAAAGTATTTTATTTTACTTTTAAAGTAATGCATTTTACCAACCTAAAGATTTTGTAATTTTTGTAGGTAAAGAGGCATCTTGCACAGTCTTTAGAAGAGTTCCTTTTTTGTACTGCAGTTCCAGGCTGGGAGTGCTACAGTCCAAAAAAGTAACTTTCCAAGCATTGGTGTGATGCACTCAACAATCAGGAAACCCATTACACATTTTTGAAAATTATTTCCTCCATTAATTTCATTTTGATTAACAATACAGGTAGTCCCCAAGTTACAAACAAGATGGGTTCTGTAGATTTGTTTTTAAATTGAATTTGTCAGAACAGGTACATTTTTAAGTGTAACTCCAACTAACACACACACACACGTAGCTTTGGACAGCATAGGTAAGGGTGAACACCCATGTGGTGTTTTTGTTTTGCTGTCTGTGCCCTTGTTCAGATTTCACTTCACGTTTTGTCCGTGTGATAACTGGATTTTGAAAAACTTGACTTGTTGTGGAAGCAAGAATTGGTGAGAAAGTTTCAACTAGGACATCTTTTCCCCATGATAACTCTTTCAGGATTGAATTTCCCTTCTGAGGGGTAGATTTCTCTAACTTCCTGTTGTTTCACCCCTGTTCTTAACTATGAGTTATTTGTAAGTACGGTGTTTGTAACTAAGGGACTAACTGTACATTGACGCTACTACAGGTTGCGTATCCTTTATTGAAATGTCTGAGATGAGGTGTTCCATATCTTGGATTTTGAAATGCTTGCATATCTATGATGAGATATCTAAGAGATGGGACATCTGTCTAAACACAAAATTCTTTTATATATCTCATGTATACTTTATATGCATACCCTAAAGGTAACATTTGTAACCATTTTGCGTTTTCGGTTTTATTTTATGTAATTATTGTCTGGGCTTGGCCTATGTAAGCCACTCCAAGTGCCCATTGGGGAGATGGTGGCGGGGTATAAATAAAAATTATTATTGTTATTATTATTATTATTATTATTATTATTATTATTATTATTACTATTATTTTATGCATGAAACAAAGTTTGTGTACACTAAGCCATCAGAAAGCAAAGGTGTTAATATCTCAGCCATCCATATAGACATTTTTGAATGTTGCATTTTGGAGTTTATAGTTCCGACAACAGATAATCAACCTGTATTGTGCAACCAAGCATTAGTTTAGTTTCAGGAGGTATCGTTCATAAGTTTGTTCATGTAATTTTATGTGCGCCTCTTTCCCTTGGGATCTGGATCTCCACAAACGCACATAGGGATCTTATCTAAATGGTCACCAGGAACAGTAAATGGTATACCTACCATTTCCCTAAATGCTGTCTCAATTGCCCCAATAACAAGGCACTCCTGAGAGATCTTCTTCTCGGTAAAGAAGCGAGTTGGTGGAGTGCCAGGTGAGCCCGGGGCTCCAGCGCTTCCCCGTAAGGAGGCTGCCCTAGTCAAAGTTCGGCTGCTGGCATTCATGTTTTCCGGCTCCTCCCCCAGGCAGGTTGGGGGAGGCACAGCAGAGTTTCTCAGGATGTCTACAATCTCCTGTAGTTGCTCCACAATGTGATGCTGAAGCAGCTTTGAAGCGACAACGGCTGCCCCAGAGCCAGCATGACCATCAAATAATGACCAGTAATGGAAAGAGATGCCATCTGATTCCTGGTTAAAGAAGAAAACATAACAACATAATGTAAGAGTCAGTGATGGCTTACTCACTAAAAGGGGGCACACAAGTTACTAATTTTCCAAGTGCAACATGGCTTTGAGAGGGAGAGAGAGATTATAGGAAGATCCTGACTTAGAGTGCATCTACACTGTTGGATTAATGTATTTTGACACCACTTTAACTACCATGTATCCCCGTAAAATAAGACATTGTCTTATATTTATTTTTCCTCACGAAGACAAACTTATTTTCAAGGAATGTCTTATTTTTTATTGAGTATGGTACAACAATCTACAGTAGCTTTACTGGGGTTTGTGGGGAATGAGAGAGACCCACAGACTTGCTGGTTGGTGCTGGGTAAGAGAGATCCACAGCGCTGAGTAAAACAGCAGCCACAGCTTTACTTCTTTTCCCTGAGGAAACACAATACCTAAAGCACAGCATCCTGCTCTTCACTTCACTTAGACTTTCACTTTCTATGTCTCCCTCCTTGTTTCAGCTTGCAGCACGCACAGAAAGACCGGGACCTGACAGGGGGAGCTGACTTTGTTGATGGAGCTGCCCGCACCTCTCCGGTCTTCTACCAGGGAAACAGTATCATGGCTCAACAATATGGAGTAATGGGAGTTTCAGATTTACAAGGTTTTTAGCCTTCTCTGCCAAAGAATGCTGGTTTCTCACCAAACTACAAATCCCAGGATCCCATAGCATTGAGCCCTGACAGTTAAAGTGAAGTCAAACTGCATTAATTATAGAGTGCAGATGCACTCTTAGTCGTGATTAAGAATGGATCAAATGAAATTAATAGAACACATCAAGCCCCATTGATTTCAGTGGGTCTGCTCTAAGTATGATTACATTCCATTTTTATACCCTGTGGATGAATTAATTCACAACAAATTCTCATTCTAGATTCTCATTGCAGTCTTTACCACAATCCTGCTTACAAAAAATATATTGTAGGAGGCGAGGAAAACCTGGCATTCAGTTGAACTTGTAAAAACCATCATTATGTAATAACACACATTAACTTAAGAAGCATATTAAGGGGAAACTAATCAGTTGTACTTATTGACCAGTGTAGCAGAGCTGGAGGAACTCATGACTATAGTAATTTAACATTATTTCATCTGTGAGGCTGATTGTAGTTAGTTGGGACTGGTTTCACTGCAGTTCTTTCACAAAAGAAATTGAAGATCTGCCACCAGACCACTTAAAACAATTCAGTGGCATCTCTAGTACAAACGTACATATATGTTTGTCCCACATGTGACAAAGTAAAATGGACAAAAGAACTCCTGAACCGTAATAAATGTGGATATCCACCATTTCTCTGCTCATTTCATTCATCTGTTAAAACATATTCCACCCATGGTTCCCAAACCTGGGCCCTCAGGTGTTTTTGGATTGAATTTCTCAGTTTTCCTAGACACTAGAGGGTTGGTTTTTTTAAAGTCCAACAATATTTGAGGGTTTGTGTTTGGAAAACTCAGAAGTTTTCCTTCTACAATTTTATTTTACATTTCTATGATTTTCCATTTCAGGCACAAAGTAGTTCACAAAAAATGCTCAATGATAACAGCTTTATCATGATATAGGTTGTTTCCAGAAATTATCCAAAACCTGACACTTTTTGCTGCCACAGCCACTTCTGTCTCTGAGGAAAGTGAGCTAGTTACACATCCAGTGCTGGCTGAGTTTTCCTCAAGAAGCTTTCATTGAACCACTGTCCAAAAATTGATGGGGAGAAAGGAAGGTGGGGGAAATAATCTAGGTCCTATGGCTTGGTATATGCAAAGCTCCTGTAAAAAACAGGTGCCAGGGAAGGGAAAAGTCCAAATGTATTTGGCTGCCTTGAACTCAAGGAATGTTGGAAACCTTCAACCGCTTGGCCAATCCACCCTGTGCTCTTCTCCCACCCTTCCAGGTGGGCATCCTGGAAACCTTCACACTTCTGATAATGATTGAGTCCCTTTTCCCACCTATCCCTCATTCTAGTTAGACCCCTTTCCCACCCATCCCTTAATCACTATGTATATGCAAATACAGATATTCAGGAATCTCAACCTGTCACATAATATGACATATATTATATACCATGTAATACAATGATGAAATATCACAAAATAATTATTCCACCTTTCATTAACACTATCATATTTAGAATCACTATGATCCAAAACCTTCTCAACTCCTGTAGAAGGTCTTAAGCTATGTTAGTTCTTGAACTAGTTTGGCTTATTTCCTCCCGCTGTTTTAAGGAGGAGTAAAAAGAAAAAAGAAAACAGGGCGAGAAATTGCATATGAAAAGCTGCCCCCTCCGCTCCTGTTATAAACTATTGTGAGTCAGCAAGGCTTTAGATGCTTCACCCCTCCATTACAGATCTCCCTCTCCTTCCTGGGTAAATGGGACTGCTCCATGAGGGTGCCTTCTGAAATATTTTAGAGCATGTGCCCTGCTGGGATATGTCCCCTAAGTAGCTATGACACCCAGATTTTGTCCATGTTGATGAATAAGTTGTAAGAGATGCAACAATAACTCAGCAAGACCACAAATCCTGGAGTGTGGAGTGTCTGACTTTTGTGTTGGTATAATGTAGTGTGGCACTTTTTCCAACCCATCATTTTTAGTGAAGAAAATCAATAAAGAAGGGGGGAAATGAGTAAGAAACTCTTAGCAGTACTTATATGCTATCCCATAAGTTAGTATGCATTTTATATTACCCAGTTTCATAGTTCCAGCCTGATACACTGAACAAAATCACTTCTAGAGTAATAGTGCCCTCTAGTAGTGAATGTGTGATACTAGAGACAAAGTTGAAGTACTTTGGCCACATCATGAGGAGACAGCAAAGCCTAGAGAAGACAATTATGCTGGGGAAAGTGGAAGGCAAAAGGAAGAGGGGCCGACCAAGGGCAAGATGGATGGATGGCATCCTTGAAGTGACTGGACTGACCTTGAAGGAGCTGGGGGTGGTGACAGCTGACAGGGAGCTCTGGCGTGGGCTGGTCCATGAGGTCACGAAGAGTCGGAGACGACTGAACGAATGAACAACAACAGTAGTGAATGTTTCCTTAACAACATTTTCACCATGTCTGAGGGAAAAAAGGCTTCTTTATCCTGCCATCATTAAATTCATTATGGAAAACAAGCAATATACTAATATAACTAACTACAAAGAGTGCCATCAGGGCCCCTTCCACACAGCTGAATAAAATCCCACATTATCTGCTTTGAACTGGGATATATGGCAGTGTGGACTCAGATATTACTGTCCAAAGCCGATATTGTGGGTTATTCTGCTTTGATATTCTGGGGGCACATCCAGACAGCCTCTTAAAAGCACAAGCTCCCACGTTTTTACATGGGCCCTCCAAATGACACCCACGTAAAAGCGAATGCATTTGGCACAAAGCAAGAAAACTCTGCTCTGTACCAAATTAATTTGATACGGGAAAGATCCAGATCTTCCTGAAAGACCCGGGTCAAATCCAGTATGGCCACTGTCTGGCCTGCCCCTTCGGAATACCTGAGAGTGTTCTAACCCCCTCCCCAAACCCCCTTAAAAACAGGGGGAAAGTAAAATAACTTCCCTGGCCATCATTAAACTACTGCTGGAGAACTCCTGGCATGTAGAAATAATGTGCCAGAAGAGCTCCAGCAGCAGTTTAATGGTGGCCAGGAAAGTTACTTTACTTTTCCATGTTTTTAAGAGGTTTTGGGGAGGGATGTTAGTGTTTCGGGAGGGCATGTGGACACTCCCCTCCTCAGAAAAGCATGCGCTTTCTGGGGCGGGCGGGGACTTTAACCCAGGCACAATCGTGTTTAACAAACTCGATTGCTTCTGGGTTAAAGGGCTGTGTGGAAGGGTCCCAAGTCAACTGTTCAATTATGGTGACTACATGAATGTCATATGCTTTTCAAAACAACAATAAGGAACAGTCAAAATTCATGAAATGCAGGGTTGATCATGAGAAAGTAGCTTTTAAAAATGTTACGTTCTGGCTAAATACTAAATGAAATTATTATTTTCAGTAAACTGAGCCATGTGTTTCTCTGTGAAATTAACATATAGCCCCCTGGTGGTGCAGCAAGTTAAACCACTGAGCTGCTGAACTTGCTGACGGAAAGGTTGGTGGTTCAAATCCGGAAAGTGGTGTGAGCTCCCGCTATTAACCCCAGCTTCTACCAACCTAACAGATCAAAAACATGCAAATGTGAGTAGATTAATAGGTACTACCATGGTGGGAAGGTAACAGCGCTCCATGCAGTTATGCTGGCCACATGACCTTGGAGGTAACTACAGACAACGCTCACTCTTCGGCTTAGGAATGGAGATGAGTACCACCTCCCAGAGTCGGATATGACTAGACTTAATGTCGGGGAAACCTTTACCTTTACCATATTTATAAATTAAATGACACACACATTTTTTGCTTTCAGAAAGGCCCATACCATAAATCTGGGGAGAAAAGAATAGAAAAGCAAAAACTTCCTAGCCTTCGAACAGAGAGCATTTCTTATAATAGAGGACACCTACCTACCAGTCCTTAAAAAGCTGTGCTGTATATGCAAAGCTAAATATCATTTTCAAATTGGATAATCATGGGTTTGGTCAGCAACTGAGTAAAGTATTGTTGAAATTATGGCAATGTCTGCTCCTTACCTGCACATCTGCCAAGTTCAGAAACATGCCCTTCCCAAACTATAATGACCAAGGAATTCAAGGAGCTGTAGTCCTAACAAAGTAACTTTCAAGCACAAATGTTTCACTAGATAAAAATTGTAGCAGGAACCGATCACATGTATACCATGCATTTTATGACAAACCCAGCTATTTCTGTGGTTGGTTAAGAGAGGAAGTGGCAACTTACTGAGTTCTCTTTCAGCTGTAAGCCTTCGCCATTTGGCAATGAAGATCTCCGTTTGGAAGAGGAGTTTTTGTTTGGTGTGGAATTACTTCCTCCTGCTTTCTTCTTTACAGTAAGAACTTCACAACTGGCCTGGTCTTCATTGTGTGTACTTTTGCCCGCATTGATCACCCTATCAAGAAAGAAACCAAATCAAAGGGATTTTTTAGAAATATTACGTTCACATTTGTTGGCATGGGAAAAATTTAAAAATGGCCTTTTGATGAAATTCCCAAAGTATTTTACAAAACCTGCAAGTATTCCTCACATAATGTATTTTCAATAAACATACAGAGTTGAGAGATACTTTTCTGGGCTAAATTTGATATCTGGGTCATTGAGAAAATGCTCAAGCTCCTCTCTGAATGTCTGTCTTGCCACCTGTGTAACAATTTGGGAACCAGGTCCTAGTTTGCTACAAATAGTTCACTGCAATCTCCAAATATTTGCAGGGCGACCACAAACAGAAGATTCTTCTTGTTTTAGTACAGTCAAACCTCTGGAGCAGATAGGGCAGGGAGGAGATCGGCCCCTTCTACACTGCCATACAAATTATCAGCTTTGAACTGGATTATATGAATTGAATCCAGTTCAAAGCAGATAATCTGGATTTTATATGGCTGTGTAGAAGGGGCCTTGAACTGCTCTAGGGATGACAGATGTGACAAAGTGGATGTATTACAAAAATTGCTCTTAGTTGCTTTCATTTTGTTTCTGAGTTATGAGGACCTAAGGTGAAGCTATCATAGGGTTTGATCAGTAAGATTTGCTCAGCAGGGATCTGCCTTTCTCTTCCTCTGAGGCTGAGAGTGTCATTTGCTGAAGATCATACAGTGGGTTTCCACAGTTGAGTATTGTAAGAATTACTACCTATAACACTAAACTAGATGAATATGAATTTTTCTATGTTTCATATCCAACTTATTTAGCTTTAAAGCTAGTTGTGAACATATGGTTCAGGTATGAGCAAATCCATGTGGCCTTTTGGGTTCTTTTTTCAGGTCCTCTCTCCCTCTCTCACACCATTCTATCCTTCTTTCTTTCCTTCCCTCCGTTTCTCCTTCCCTACTTTCTTCCCTTTTGACCCCTCATCCTTCCTTCCTCTTTTCCTCCCTCTTGCCCTGCCTCCCTTTCTCATTCCTTCCTTCCCTTTTTTCTTTCCTTCTTCTCCCCCCCTTCCTCCCTCTCTCCCTTCCACTCTTCCTTCCATCCTTCACTTCCTCCCTCCCTCCCTTCTCTTTTTTCTTCCTCCTTTCTTCCTGGGGGATGTTTAGCTGGGAGAAGAGAAGGTAGAGAGGGGACATGAGAACCATGTTTAAAGATTTAAAAGGATGTCCCATTGAGGAGGAGGGGGGGAACTGACTTTCTGCTGCTCTAGAGACCAGGGAACAAGGGAGCAATGGTTTCAAATGGTAGGGTAAGAGATTCAAATGAAAAGATTAGGAAGAACTTCCTAGAGAATGGCATAGGCTGCCTGGGAGTGTGGTGGAGTCTCCTTCTATGGAAGCTTTTCCACAAAAGCTGTCTACTAGGAGTGCTTTGATTGTGCCTTCCTGCATGGCAGGGGGTTGGACTGTATGGCCCTTGGGGGTCTCTTCCAACTCTAGGATTCTATATCAGGGGTAGGCAATACGGGGTCTAATGGATACACTTTTTCTCTCCCATCCACTATCTCATCCAGATCAAGGCCAACTCTTTTAGGATCCAAACGTTTCCCATTTTTCCTTCACTTTCTGCCTCTGAACGTGAGGAAGGGGCAGGGAGGGGGTTTGGGGAGAACCCCCTCCCTTCCAGCCCAACCACCCTGCTCTAGCTCGCCATGTGGCCCCCAAGTTAGAATGTTTGCCCATGCCTGATATAGTCCATAGTTAGAAATAGTAGTCCAGTATGTATAAATATATAAATAATCCTAAAGCCACAATGAAAGCCGAGGTGGGGAACAGGGTAGGGTTAGGGAGCGAAAGAGATATATTCATATAGGCTCTGGCCTTAGCAAGCAGTGAGGCCTGAAATACAAGGAAATAAAGAGAAATGTTGGGTTCTCCACGACCATATCTTGCTTGTGCGGGAAAATATGGCCTGTGGGAAAACTTTAAAAGGTACAAAGCTCTCAGCAAGAGAGGGAGCGCACAATCCATCTCCAGTGTTAAGACATGACATCTGTGGTGGATAAAGCCAAGAGTGTATTAGCTCAGCAACCTGTCCATCAACAATGGCATCACATCTGTTTCATGGAGGCTCACAAGCAGGACATAATCCAGTTCTTAATCCTCGACATATGGAAGGCAGAGATAATTTATCTATGAAAACCGAGATTACATTTTGGCAATCATGCCTAGCAGATACCACAAAACGTATTCATGCATTAATTTAATCTGTTTGTATGTAAAGATACCTGCCATACAAACATGGACTGTGATAGGACCAGCTACTGCAGGCATGTATAAGACTACTATTTCATATCCTTGTTTTGCTTGTATTCTCTAAATGGTGCAGTCTACATCTGAATCTCTGCCTTTTGTTTCATATCAATTTTCACTGCTTTTGCCTTGTCACTAAATATAGGAAAGCTTGTTTTGGCTTTAGGCTGTAACAGTTTAGCTGCTGATGTTTTGCTTGCTGACTTTGTTTTGATCACATATAAGATTTTTCCTTCTTCTTTACCTAATGTTCATCAGTCTCAGATCATTTCACTCTCAGGGCCCTTCCACATAGCCATATAACCCAGAATCTCAAACTAGAAAATCCAAATCTGCTTTGAACTGGGTTATCTGAGTCCACACTGCCCTATATTCCAGTTCAAAGCAAATGTGGGATTTTATTCACCTGTGTGAAAAGGGCCTTAGTGAGAATCATGTGACCCAATGTATTGGAATACAATTGCCAGCAGCCCTAACCAAAGTTAGGGGAAGGAATGCTGGGAGCTCTAGTCACAGAACACTTGCAATGCTCTGTGATCCTTGCCTCATATGAATACAAATGAGTTTTTAGCAGAACTGGATCCTGTGTGTCAATCCATACGCAGAAATGGAAAACATCCATGGATAATTCTGAGTTTAGTATTCAATTATGTATCTTGGCAATGTCTCCTAACCCCATGCTCAACCAGAAATAACTCCTGTATGTCCATAACACAGGGTAAAACCCGTTGCCCAGTTTCACCCTGCATGACAAGAAGTTGGGGAATCCTCCAGACTTCGGGGTGAGTGTGGACAGCTGTACCGGCCCTAATCTGAGCCAACATACTGTCCACACACCCAATGGCAACATCCACTTATCCCTGCACTCAAAAGCACAAGGAAAAGGGGAAAAATTGGGATTGTATCACCTTCCTGTTACTGTGGCAGGTGTCTGCAGAGATCCAGAGAGCTCTTGGTTGTTCCTAGGCATCTCCGCTGCTATCAGTAAAGATGCTTGCACGGTCAGGGAAGAGGAGGGGGATAACTTGTATAAATGCAGCTTTATCTCTCAATGTTCAGTCATACAGAAACAATATTCCTTCTATCACTCCATATCTTTACAATCTCTCTCTAAAATCAGCCTCATATATAACATAAGACTGTTTACTTCGAAGAAACTTCCACCTGGTTCAGTGACACTTAGTTCTAGGTAAATATGTAAAGGGCTGTAGACGTAACATTCCATAGATATGGCAAACTGTAGATTTGGATCCTCTTAGATTCTGGGGAAATAGTCAAAGTTAAAAGCACTTAAAGCTTTTAATTTTTTTCCTTTTATATTTAACATGTGTGGAAAGTTAAACTCCAAAGTTAGGCAGTGATGGTGCCAATCCCTTTTGATACAGCTGACAACTTTGATTAGCAGACAGCTCATCGTCTGGCCAGAACAGTTCACACTTTGCCCACAGGTATGGATTTGTTCCCTCTCTGAAAATATTTTTCTGTGGCATCCATGACCCGAAATTACAAGCCCTTACTGGAAATTACTGCAGGAAAACCAGCAAACACACAGTCTGCTTTGTTTGTTTATTATAAATATTTGTTAACTTGACCTTCATCTTCAGATACCAAGATAGAATACAAGAATGTCACCATATAATATTGTTTTTAAAAATGATACTAAAAAGGTAAAGGTTGTCCCCTGACATTAAGTCCAGTCATGTCCAACTCTGGGGTGTGGTGCTCATCTCCATTTCTAAGCCGAAGAGCCAGCGTTGTCCATAGACACCTCCAAGGTCATGTGGCCAGCAGGAGCAGTACCTATTGATCTACTCACATTTGCATGTTTTCGAACTGCTAGGTTGGCAGAAGCTAGGGCTGACAGCGGAAGTTCACGCCACTCCCCGGAATCGAACCTGTGACCAACAAGCTCAGCAGCTCAGTGCTTTAACCCACTGCGCCACCAAACAAGTAAAAAACATAAAATCTATAAGTGTATGAAGTTTTAATCAACAGCTATCTGTTTCTTCCATGATGTCCTGTTAGGGTTTATCTATCTGTCTATAGAAACCCATGAGCCTTTATCATTCTGTTACAGTAATCTACCATTGGAGACCACAGAAAGTTTTTAACCTACTGTGAAAAAATGGGCTAAAAACCGCTGCACTATTGTAACCATTTTAACCTCTATTGTATTTTATTAAATATAGATCTACACAGTCACAATACTGTGATTAGTTTTTGTAAAAAAATTAAGGTCAATTTGTTGTACGATTATAGTTGTAATGTCAAAAGACTTGGCCATACGAAGCTAGTTTTCCCCTTTTCTCATGCCATTTGAAACAGTATTAAAATGGTATTGTACACCGAGGTCAATGGACAAAATCAATAGTTTGAAAAATGGCTTCTAATTAGCTATTGATTTTGTTTTGCCTGGATTGTCTTAGGCTGATGTTGGTATACTCTTTTTAGCTGAACAATGATTGTCCTGATTTTAGATTAAAGCTACTCTAAACATTCTTTGGAATGGGAATCACAGAAGATATCTATCTATCTATCTATCTATCTATCTGTTACAGGCATGGGCAAACTTCAGCCTTCCAGGTGTTTTGGACTCGAACTCTCACAATTCCTAACAGCCTACCAGCTGTTAGGAATTGTGGGAGTTGAAGTCCAAAACACCCGGAGGACCCAAGTTTGCCCATGCCTGACCTACCTATCACAGATAAACTGA